TAACAGGAAAATGTAGTGTAGTTACCATTATTCATGTAAGAATAGGGACATTTCGAAAAGAGTAATGCTTTATTTGCTAATTTAAGTACTTATTTTTCTGATATAAAAAGATCCTCACGGACTGACGAAAAATTTATGTTGTTTCACGATTAATCCTAATCTTCTTCTATGCGAATAGTTGGAAAAGTGAATGAAATATAGATCTCAGTAATTGACGTACGCCACTTATTTCCATCAATTAACTCTCAACAAAACTACATCTCCAACGAGCACACACAAAACCATGAGCATAATTTCGAACAAATTCTCTACCTCCCTCTCAAACGCCCAATGAGGAACAAAGCGAGCCCACTCAGCCCGTCCAAATCGCCCTCATCCTTCTTCAACAAATCCTCTTCTCCCCCTTCAAAGAACAAATCATCGCAGTCGTAAGCCCTCTCCTTCACCCTCCCAACCTTCACTACAGCGTCGCTGTAATCCCCTTTCTCGAACGAATCCATCGCTCCGTTGAGCAGATCAATCTGATTGTTGTAAGCCCCATCACACAACCGCAAGATTTCCTTGACCTCGTGACTAAAGTTTCCGTTCTTGATCATGTCATTAATCTTGGTGCCGGTGTTGGTTGCGTTGGTTAGGCAGAGCTGAGTGCCGATGAGGCCTAGACCTTTAGGGTCGGCGGTTTCGCTCTTTGGGTTTGCTCGGAGCGAGGTTGTGCAGAAACCGTAGTCGACCTTGTAGTTGCTAGCGGTGGCGGCTTTGCAGGTGTCATCGACGGTGGCGTTGGTGATGGAGAGGAGGAGGAGGGGGAGGAAGAGGGGGAGGAGGGAAGAGGGAGACATTGTTTCGTTCGTGTTTTTTTTTAATGGGTAGAGAGAGGGTTGTATTTAAAATGGGATTTGGAGGGAAGTTGGTGGATAAATGGCATAGGATAAAAGATTTTGATTTGTGTGATCTTTTGCATTCACTTTTTGCATTAGTAAATGTGGCAGTATGTGATGGATATTACGATGAATACAATCTCGTATTGATACAAGTTTCATATATACGTGATTTCTTTTCTAGGGGAGGGATAAAGATTATGATTTTTTTTAACTAGAATTATATATGTCCATAATAAAGGTTATGATTCTTTTGCTAGAATCACAAGTGTCCATAATAAGATTATGATTTTTTGAATAGAATCAGAAATGTCCACAATAAGATTGTGATTCTCTGAATAGATTCATGACTGTCCATATTAAGATTATTGTCTTAAATAGTTTTACTAATTTAAAGATAATATACAACTTCCATAAATAACGCAAAATTGGTAACGATTAGACTATGGAATTTAAAATAAAATTTCTAATTGGCGTGTCAACTATAGGTTGTATTAGCCGCATGTTGAGACAACTGCAAAATTGACCATATCTACTTCTGGCCTGTTTGTTTGCACAAGTAATTATTTAGTAGCTAAAGTAAAGAAGGGATGCTACTTTTGCTATTTCGGAGAAATAAATCTATTTATTTATCTGAAAGGTCTATTTCTAATACTTCATTGAACACTACTGTGGCTTATGTGTCATCCCTATTTAAAAAAAAATCAACCCTTCAAGGTTCAGAAGTAGCTTGGAATGTGTATGACTTTAGAAAAATAACTTTTTTTTACTAACATTTCCTTTATTAGCTAATTCATAAATAAAAATTCATTGTTATCCAAACTAAGGTGAATGAAGATAAAGAAGTTCCATTCCAACTACTTTATAAAAACATGTGAAACAAAAAAATTTATTACTTTGACTGCTCTCTTCTTCATAATTTTAAAAGTCACCTCTTTAATCTATTTTCTAATTCTAATCTACACAAGTGAGTGATAACCCATATCAAATTGGGCATCACGTTTAATAATCATCTCGGATCATTATGATTGTGCAGATATTTCCCCAACTAGTTACTACTCGTACAATGCATGGATTTAAATTTAAATTTTTGTATGTATATTAGAAAAGAGGGAAGACGAAAATAAATTTTTTTGGAAAAAGAAAATAAAATTAATGATACGTATGATATTCAAAGGCTAAGAAAAAAAATCTCCAAGATGTACGTGGAGCGTAGTTTATTAAGATAAGATGGTGGGAAAAGGATTAGAGCATTGCTTCGGTGCTCCCAAATTAACGTTTTTTACCATTTTTAATTTGATAAAATAATTAAAACTGTCTAAAAATATGGAAGGTTATTTTTGTCCGACCTACTTACATACTTTCCTAATTATCCTCGTCCAATACCGTTTCTTTGTTTCCTAATTATCCTTTCTTTGTTTCCTAATTATCCTCCAATGTCGTTTCTTTTGTTTTTTGTTACTTCTCGCAAGTTTAGTATAAAAATTTAGCATATACCTAAAAATTGAAATTCTTTTTCGCGTTTGCTCTCAAGGGAATGAATATATATATGTGTGTGTGAAGAGATTTTTTTCTTTCGATAATGTTTGATGAGAGCAAATTATATTCACTATCTTGTTCTTGTACAATGGGATTACACGTATATATATATACATCAACCAGCTAAAAAGGAAAGAAATGAAAAAAGGAAGAAAATCAATGGGCAATCAATGATTGTCACAATGGAGAATGGTAGCAGAGGATTGTGGAACTCCCATATCCTCAAGTAACCAACGGAGCCAAAGTAATTCAGAAGTAGTATCAGCTAGGGCCCGATATTCAGATTCAGTACTTGATCGAGATGTGACAGTTTGCTTTTTACTTCTCCATGAAATGAGCGAGTCACCCAAGAAGAAGCAGTAACCAGTTGTGGAGCGACGATCAGTAGGATCACCAGCCCAATCAGCATCAGAATAGCCAGTTAAAATTAAGGACGAATGAGCAGAAAAATGAAGTCCATGAAGAAGAGTGCCTTTGACATATCTTAGAATACGAAGAACAGCAGTATAATGAATAGTCCGAGGAGCATCCATGAATTGACTGACAACATGCACGGCATAGGCGATATCAGGACGAGTCACGGTCAGATAAACAAGACTACCAACAAGTTGTCTATATAAAGTAGGATCAGGAAGAGGTGTGCCATCAAATGGAGTTAGCTTAACATTGGTATCCAATGGTGTTGAGGCAGTATTTGAATCAGTGAGACCAGATCTGGAAAGCAAATCAGAAGCATATTTGGCTTGGGACAAATAGTAGCCATCTGAACAAGAAGAGACTTCAAGCCCGAGAAAATAACTGAGTGGCCCCAAATTTTTCATCTCAAATTGTTGACTGAGGTAGTTTTGTAAGTCAGAGATGGCCACAGAATCATCACCTGTAATGATCATATCATCCACATAAAGTAACAGCAGAACAATACCCTTCTCAGTACGACGGATAAATAAGGTTGAATCATGAGGGCTAGAAGCAAAACCAAAACGTGCAATAGTGGAACTGAATTTTGCAAACCATGCTCTCGGAGCTTGCTTAAGACCATATAAAGCTCTCCGAAGAAGACAAACTTTTTGTGGAGGATGAGAATAACCAGGAGGAGGATGCATGTAAACTTCCTCTTCCAAATCGCCGTTGAGAAAAGCATTTTTAACATCCATCTGAAGAAGGGGCCAATGTTTTACTGCAGCAACAGCTAAAAGACTACGAACAGAGGTTAAACGAGCAACAGGAGCAAATGTTTCTTCATAATCAATGCCATATTCCTGAGTATAGCCTTTAGCAACTAAACGAGCTTTATAACGCTCGACAGAACCATTAGAACGAGTTTTAATCTTGTAAACCCACTTACATCCGATAGGAGTTTTGCCTGAAGGAAGATCCACTAAATCCCAAGTATGTGTTTTCTCTAAGGCATGAAGTTCCTCAGACATTGCTTGCTGCCAGAGAGGATCAGTACTAGCCTCACGGTAAGAATGTGGTTCTTGTAAAGAAACAATAGCAGAAAAACAATGATAATCTTGAAGATGACGAGGAGATTCTCTTATCCGATTAGAGCGACGAAGAGGAGGTTCAGGATCATCAGTGGAGACAGATGCTGTAGATGTGGGTGCAAAGGTGGAAGGAGAATTATCAAGCTCAACTAAAGATTCTGTATCAGAGGAAGGGAATAACTCAATTGAAGGGTCAGTGAAGAACGGTTGAGAGGCGGAAAAAGAACTATGAAATTTAGACAGAGTGGAGAACATGGTATGCTCCCAAAAAGTGACATGACGAGAAATTCGTAACCGACCAGACATAGGATCCCAACACCGATATCCTTTGTGTTCTTGTCCATATCCAAGAAAACAACAAAGACGAGCCCGCGGTTCAAGTTTAGTATGTTCATGGGGGTTAAGAAGAACAAAACAAGCACAACCAAAAACTCTAAGATTTGAGTAATCAGGTGGTTTACCATATAATCGTTCAAAAGGAGACAGATTCTGAAGGACCGGAGTAGGAAGACGATTAATGGTGTAAACAGAGGTAAGTGCAGCCTCACCCCAAAATTTTTCAGGACAGGATGCTGAAAGAAGTTGAGCACGAACAGAATCTAAGATATGACGATGTTTACGTTCTGCACGACCATTTTGTTGGGAGGTATAAGGACATGATCTTTGAACAATAGTTCCCTGCTGTTTGAGAAACTGAAGAAGAGTAGAATCTTGATATTCCATGGCATTATCAGTACGAAAAATTTTGATACAGCAAGAAAATTGAGTTGTAATCATGGTAGCAAAATCAATATAAATTTGAGATAATTCAGATCTATGCTTAAGAAAATATATCCATGTAAATCTAGAATAATCATCAATGAATAAAACAAAGTATTTGTAACCATTCACAGTAGGAGTAGGAGCAGGACCCCAAATATCAGAATGAATCAAGCCAAAAGGAGTATCACATTTAGAGTTACTATGATTAAAAGATAAGGCAGGCTGTTTTGCGAGTTGACAATGTAAACAATCAAAAGACTCAAATTTGGAAAGACCTAAAGTTCCACTAGAAACTAAAGGACGAAGTTTACTAGCGGATGCATGACCAAGACGAAGATGCCACTGGTATATTAATGGAATGGTGGTGGAAGCAGAAATCGATCTGGGAGCAGAAACTTTAAGAGATGTGAGCTCAAATAATCGTCCCACCTTGCGCCCCGTGCCAATTATCTGTCCCGTTTGAAGATCCTGAACCTGACAACCATGGGGAGAGAAAAGAACAGTTAGACCAAGATCACATAATTGACCAACCGAGGCTAAGTTTAGGGATAATTTAGGGACACAATAAGTATCAGGAAGGTTTAAATTTGAGGTAGCTGCTGTTCCAATATGGGTAATAGACATACAATTACCATCAGCAGTTTGAATGGGTGGCAGAAATTTGCTAGAAGTTTTATTAGATAAGAGAGACATTTGAGAAGTCATATGATTGCAACAAGCAGAGTCAAGAAACCAAGAATCACCTGCAGTGACAGCTAATGCAGTGGAAGATGAAGGATTGGAGGATATCACCTGTCTGAGAAGAGCTTCGAGATCGCTAACATTAAGAACAGAGGAAGGGGACTCATCAGAAGGAGCAGTAACAGCAGCAGCAGAAGAACTAGCCTTAGAGAAAAACTTAGATTTTGTTGAAGTGCCTTGAGGACGAGGTGGACGGGTTGGACAATTTTCCAAAATATGACCATGTTTGTGACAGTATCTGCACTCAATAGTAGGGCAATTTGCAAATGTATGTCCAGTATTTCTACAATTCTTGCACAAAAATGAGCCAGATGCAGAACGTGGCCGAGTGATAGCAAGAGCAACTTCCGGTGAGGGAGATTTGATCAAACCAAGACGTGTTTCCTCAAATAAGATTTCTTTAACAGCAGCATCCAAAGAGGGTAAAGGATCACGATGCAACAGAGCAGCACGAACAGATTCATATTCAGGACGTAGAGCCATGAGAACCTGAATAAGGCGAAGATGATCATCACTGATATTAGCTTGTGCTAATTGATTCCATATAGGCTGAATGACAGCAAGGAAGTCATTAACAGATTGTCCGGAGTCTTGTTTAAGACTGGCAAGAGTTGTGAGCAGTTGATAATAGTGTGCAAGACCTGTAGTTTTGTACCGATTGGACAAGAAATCCCAAATTTCTTTTGCAGTATCAAAATCAGCAAACTGGATATGAATGGCTGAAATAGAGGTGTTACATAACCAGGTAATTATCTGATGATTTTTGCTATCCCAATCTTCAAGACGTTCTGCATACTTGGTATTGTTTTCATCAGCATCTCGGACTGGTTCAACAACGTCGACCGACGGAAAAGTCCGGTCGACCGCTATCCAGGTCTGAAAAACAAAAAACAGGCAGACTTCGTCGGTCGACCGGTGCGGTCGACCGATGGAGCTTTCGGTCGACCGGACCGGTCGACCGACAGACTCTCTGTCGCCCAGTGAGAATATGAACTCAGGTTCGGTCGACCGGTACGGTCGACCGAAAACAGATATGACAGAAACTGAAACCTGTTTTGCTGGTTTTAAAATGCTGTTTAAAAATATCAAATAAATTCCAAAAAATGTAAAACTTTGGGGAATGATTGTAGACATGATAATAAACATGCTACAACGACTGGTTTTGAAAAAGGACTTCCCAAATGAAAAATATCATCATTTTGCAAAATAGTCCAAAACACGAAAATGTAAACATGTGAATTTTGACATTTTGGCTAAACCAACTTTTGAAACTTTACAAAATGATTTTATAGACTTGAAGAAAGATGTAAACTATTGTTATGAAGTCTATAAACAATGAATGTAGTATTTTATCAAAATACACATATAATGCACTAAAACATGATTTCATTTAACTAACTAAAATTGATATTGATGAAATCATATATATGCATATGAGTATGAAACAAAAATATGTTTTCTAATTATATTCAATTGTTTCATAGTAAAACTTGAAAACTATCAAACCAAAACATATATGTATATATATATAACTATATATATACAAAAACCAAAACGTGTATGTGTGTATATGATTGAGCTTAAAGTACTAACACACATAATATAAATTCCTAAACTAAATTACCCAAGCAATGATCTTGATCTTCAACGAAGCTCTATCTTGGTAATCTTGCGGATGAAGCTTAAACTTGGATCTTGACTTAAATGTGCATTGCTTCACTCCACAATTCCGCCAACCTCCTTTGGATATCATCGTTGAAGCGCAATCCCAACCGAGGCTAAGTTTAGGGATAATTTAGGGACACAATAAGTATCAGGAAGGTTTAAATTAGAGGTAGCTGCTGTTCCAATATGGGTAATAGACATACAATTACCATCAGCAGTTTGAATGGGTGGCAGAAATTTGCTAGAAGTTTTATTAGATAAGAGAGACATTTGAGAAGTCATATGATTGCAACAAGCAGAGTCAAGAAACCAAGAATCACCTGCAGTGACAGCTAATGCAGTGGAAGATGAAGGATTGGAGGATATCACCTGTCTGAGAAGAGCTTCGAGATCGCTAACATTAAGAACAGAGGAAGGGGACTCATCAGAAGGAGCAGTAACAGCAGCAGCAGAAGAACTAGCCTTAGAGAAAAACTTAGATTTTGTTGAAGTGCCTTGAGGACGAGGTGGACGGGTTGGACAATTTTCCAAAATATGACCATGTTTGTGACAGTATCTGCACTCAATAGTAGGGCAATTTGCAAATGTATGTCCTGTATTTCTACAATTCTTGCACAAGGATGAGCCAGATGTAGAGCGTGGCCGAGTGATAGCAAGAGCAACTTCCGGTGAAGGAGATTTGATCAAACCAAGACGTATTTTCTCAAATAAGATTTCTTTAACAGCAGCATCCAAAGAGGGTAAAGGATCACGATGCAACAGAGCAGCACGAACAGATTCATATTCAGGACGTAGAGCCATGAGAACCTGAATAAGGCGAAGATGATCATCGCTGATATTAGCTTGTGCTAATTGATTCCATATAGGTTGAATGACAGCAAGGAAGTCATTAACAGATTGTCCGGAGTCTTGTTTAAGACTGGCAAGAGTTGTGAGCAGTTGATAATAGTGTGCAAGACCTGTAGTTTTGTACCGATTGGACAAGAAATCCCAAATTTCTTTTGCAGTATCAAAATCAGCAAACTGGATATGAATGGCTAAAATAGAGGTGTTACAGAACCAGGTAATTATCTGATGATTTTTGCTATCCCAATCTTCAAGACGTTCTGCATACTTGGTATTGTTTTCATCAACATCTCGGACTGGTTCAATAACATCGCCAGTAATAATGCGCCAAAGCTTGCGTCCAATTAAGAAGCTTTTCATTCGTTGAGACCATAGAGTATAATTAGAGCCATCCAAAATAACAGCAGTAGGACGAAATATTTCAGATTTCTCCATATCAACAAACCCAAAAGAAGAACCCAACATAAGACCACCAAACCCACAAAAGTCACACTTTTATGTGTGACAGCTGAGAAGAAGAGCGGACCTGGAACCACGGATCTGAGCGACGGGAAGCACGGAGAAAGGCGACCGGCGACGGGAAGCACGGATCTGGAACCACGGGAGGAGTTCGCTGGCGACCGGCGAAGCTCTCGGTTCTGGGAGGCGGATCTGGTCGATTCTGGGCGGCGAAAGGCACAGATCTGGGCGACGGAAAGCGCGGATCTGGTCGATTCTGGATGGCGGTTCGGATCTGAAGAGGGCGGCGGTTCGGATCTGGGTTTGTCGGGGAGGGCAGGGATGCGGACGGAAAGTTGTTCGTCGGCGACGAGATGGCGGCGAAGCTCTGGCCGAAGGAGGAATCGCGGGTCTCGTGCGGTCGTCGACGCTGGAAACGTGAGAGAGAGAAGATTGGAGGCGGTGATCTGATTTAAGAACAGAGCTCTGATACCATGTTTGATGAGAGCAAATTATATTCACTATCTTGTTCTTGTACAATGGGATTACACGTATATATATATACATCAACCAGCTAAAAAGGAAAGAAATGAAAAAAGGAAGAAAATCAATGGGCAATTAATGGGGAATCAATGGGCAATCCCAAATATATTGCACAATCTAATGCTGATACGTTAACAGATAACATTAACCAAGTTGTTTAATAAAAGAAATAAAAAGATAAAAAGATAGAAAATAAAAAAAGATATAGAAGAAATAAAAAGAATTAATCACTTATATTTAACATGGTGTATGAGGAAAATTAGATTTTTTTTTTGCAAAATTAATCACGAATAAGAGAAATAAAAGACAGAAAATAATGCAATACATGAATAAGAAATAAAAGACAGAAAATAATGCAATACATGAATAAGTTTTGGAAGAGTTTATAGTTCAAAAGCAATAAGAAACGAAGAAGGAAGAATGCTAGAAAAGGACGGAAAAAATAGAGACGCGTTTATTAGTTGTATAGTTGTAACTAATCACAAATTATATTTCTCTTCTTATTTATACTTCCTAAAATAATATAAACTCCTCTCAACTACCTTATCCCTCAAATTTAGGATGTGAGAGAGATTTTCAAGGAAACAAACTACACCAACCACTTCGGTACTCAATTGGAGCACCAAAGCTGTTGGCAAAGGATTATTGGTTATTAAATATTAGAGCTTTTACGATTTGCCATGTTGCAAAAACATGCAATCAGGTATAGTATCGACTACATCGTCTTTGAAAAATATGTTCAACAGAATCAACACCTACACTGACCCATTCAAAATAAGTATCAATAATTTCTCAGTAAGGAATAAAATGCAAATAAATACGAGAACAAACCGGATAAGGACTTGGCAGGATTTATCTGCTCGAGTATGACAAACGCATATACATTGCTCGATTTCAATCAGTATCTCGCTTAAAACTTGCTCATGTTGGGCCGGCTTTAAAATCGACCCGTTTTAGCTGGCCCCGTTCAAGACGTCTTGGCTCTGAGCCCGTAATCGCTAAAATTGGGGTTTTAAAAAATGTCGTTTAATTAATGTTTGTGCTCTGTTCTTATTTGTGTTCACGTGAGTTTTGGTACATGGATCTAAAATATGGGACCAACAGAAAAGACATGTGAGGTGTCCTTCTCCTATTACATAATGAGCTGGTCAGGGCCGGCCTTAACCTAGGGCCACTAGGGCTACAGCCCGGGGCCATAGCTAAGGGGGGCACTAGGGCCTAGGGTGACTGGGTGAGCAAGCTTTCACTAGGGAGCCTTACAACTCATGAATCATGATAGCACTAGAGCCTAGGCCGGCTCTGTCTTCTGATTTTGATATGCATAGCATGATAGCATCTATCTAGTATGACAAAGATGATGTGTAATAGCACTTTGCTACAGTTTCTTTCTACTTTTAACATGGAAGATTTTTTCAAGATTTGTGAAAACAACGGGAGGTTAATGAAGTCATCACTTTTGCAACAGTATAGCCGTCTTAATCTGAACCTTTGCTGAGTTAGCCCACACAACTTGGCCCAGTAGCTGCTAAGGTGTGCCATCACTCGGTTGTGTGTACAGTGAAGGACTGGGACCGATTCATTTATTTTTTAAAATAGGTTCTTGAAGTTTAGTAAGGGACAGGAGCCTCTCAAGAACAATAAGGCCAGCAGCTCTCTGCTCTCACGGTGAGAGTCTCACTGCCTGGTCCGCCTCCGCCAGTTCTCGCAGGAGCTCAAGGCCGAGGCCTCTCAAGAATTGTTTGTTGAAGAGACTTTCTTTGAAGGTATTTTTTTTAAGATAACATATAGAATTTAGATTAGATGTATAAATTTTATAAATTGTAATACATATCGTTTTAACTTTTTCTTATTTGTTATTTGATTCAACAGAAACATTAGCTGGGATTCTTGAACTTTATAATTGGAAGTTTCAAGTGGAAGAACTTATGCTCAAAATCCAGGTTTTATTGTTCTTTGTTCTTTGTTAAGTGTTTATTATAAAAATTAAAAAATGTTTCCTAAGAAACAACTTTCTGGAAATCTCAAGAGACAAAAAAAGAAAAAATGATAAAATTGCTCAAAGTTTAAGAGGATCTTTGAATAAATATTTTGTTAAACAAACCAATGTGTCACTTGAAAATTTAGATGAAGATGATTTACCAAATGAATATGAACACCCAATTCAATTGGAAGAATTAGTAGAAAATGAGAATGATGTGAACGAAGAAATTGGTGATCTAGATGAAAATGAAAATAGTGATGGACATTTCCTTGATGAAAATGAAAATATTGATGAACCATGCCACGAAAATGAAAATAGTGATGAACCTTTCCTTGATGAAAATGAAAATATTGATGAACATTGCCATGAAAATGAATGTCCCGAAACAAGATTTGATTTGAACATTTATGATCCACGAGTTTGGGATAATCTTGATGCAAAAATGAGAGATTTACTTGTAGAAAAAGGCCCCCTAAGAGAAACTAATCTCAAATTCCCCATGGACGAACACAATAGACATTTTTCTTCAAATTATTATCTTCGTACATTACCAAATGGGGAAACTAAGGATCGAAAATGGCTAGTGTACTCAAAGGAGTTGGATAAAGTGTTTTGTTTCTGTTGTAAGTTGTTTAAAACAATGAATTCTAGAAGTCAGTTAACTAGTGAAGGAATTAGAGATTGGAAACATCTTGGTGAGAAGCTTAGACAACATGAAAGCAGTATTGAACACCTCACTAACTTGAGGTCTTGTGTTGAATTGCAAATCAGATTGAAAACAAATCAAACAATTGATACAGAATTACAAGAGCTAATCAAGAAAGATACACTACACTGGAAAAATGTTATTGTCAGAATCATTGCTGTTGTGAAATGTCTTGCTACACATAATTTGGCTTTTCGTGGAACAAATGAAAAAATTTATGAAGATGGTAATGGTAACTTTTTAGGCCTGCTTGAAATGATTGCAGAGTTTGATCCAGTAATGCAACACCATTTTCGACTCATTCAAGATAAGAAGATTCATTATCATTATCTTAGCCATAAAATTCAAAATGAGTTGATAGCTATTTTAGCATCAAATGTTAAACATGCAATCATTGAAAAAATAAAAACAGCTAAATATTTTTCTGTCATTCTTGATTGTACTCCTGATGCAAGTCACAAAGAACAAATGACTTTAATATTGAGGTGTGTAGATGTTTCAAGTACTCCAATAAATATAGAAGAGTACTTTTTAGAGTTTCTGAATGTGGAAGATACATCTGGATTAGGACTTTTTAATGAATTGCAAAATGTAATTGAGTCCCTTACACTTAATATTGATGATGTGAGGGGACAAGGTTATGATAATGGCTCTAATATGAAAGGAAAAAATCTAGGTGTACAAAAAAGATTACTTGATATAAATCCTAGAGCATTTTACATGCCATGTGGTTCTCATTGTCTCAACTTAATAGTTTGTAATATGGCCAACTCATGTGTTAAAGCAAAATCTTTTTTTGGAGCATGTCAATGCATATATACAGTATTCGCTAATTCAACAAAGCGATGGAATGTGTTACTTGATTACATAGATGGTTTGACTTTGAAATCATTGTCAACCACACGTTGGGAAAGTCACATTGAAAGTGTCAAAGCAATAAAATCTCAAGCTTCCCAAATTAGTGAAGCTTTACTTAAATTAACAGAAATTAGTGAAGATGCCAAATTGAGTAGGAATGCTCAAAGTTTAGCATCAGGAGAGCTTTCAAGTTTTGAATTTATATTAAGTTTGGTTATTTGGCATGACATTTTGCATAAGATTAACTTAGTTAGTAAAAAGTTACAATCTGAAGACATGCGTCTTGATGCTGCTGTAAGACAATTAGAAGGACTTGTGTTATTTTTTGAAAACTATAGAATAAATGGGTTTGTTTCTGCCATGATTGATGCTAAACAAATTTCCCTTGATATGGGAATTGAACCCATATTTCCAAAAAAACGTCAAGTTTGTAGAAAAAGTCATTTTGATGAGGTTTCCAATAGTGATAGGGAACAACAATCAGCTGAAGAATCATTTAGAACTGATTATTTTCTTGTTATAGTGGATATTGCTCTTGGTGAATTGAAGAGTAGGTTTGAACAATTGCATTGTTTTGAATCTATTTTTGGGTTCTTATTTGATGCTGCAAAATTGACTTCGCTTGATGATAATGAATTGAAAAGTTTCTGTGTGAATCTTGAAAATGCTTTAAAACATGGTGATGTTTCCGATGTTGATGCAAGAGACTTATTTTCAGAGTTACAGGTGTTGCAAGTGATGTTACCAAAAGAAGCATATGAAACAGATAAACCATGGACATCCATTAAAATTCTTGAGTTTGTAAAGAGTGTGGATATGTTTCCTAATGTAATGGTTGCTTATAGGATATTATTGACTATACCTGTGACTGTGGCATCTGCTGAAAGAAGTTTTTCTAAATTAAAATTATTGAAATCTTACTTGCGGACCACCATGACTCAAGATAGGCTAAATGGATTAGCGATATTATGCATTGAAAAGGATATGTTAGAGAACATTAAATATGATAGTATAATTGATGATTTTGCATCTAAAAGTGCAACAAGAAGACATTTTAAATGATGTTTTGTAGTTGAGATTTCATTGCTATTTTTATTTTGTAGGTACATGTGATGATTCTTTGCTTCGATTAATTGTGGAGGATGAAAAGAAGATTGATCAAATCAAGAAATGCTTATGGAGATTTGGGAGGAAGCATGTAGACTCAAATATGTAGTTTTCGTTTTTTAATGCAATGTTTACAATCCGGGGTACTCTTTTTCCTTCGTTTGGGGTTTTGTCCCATTGGGTTTTCCCCAACCAAGGTTTTAATGAGGCCCCAAGGTGTTTTCCCTTGTCTTTTGTAAAATCTTATAATTTTAATAAAATTAATTAATTGATAATTTATTTATTTGTTTGTTTAATTTGTATAAAGGGGCACACTTGAGAAAATTTGCCCTGGGCCTTAGAAAACCCAGGACCGGCTCTGGAGCTGGTCATCGTTAATGATGACCAACTCATTATGCAATAGGAGGGGGACACCTCATATGTCCCCTATTTTGATCCCATATTTTGGATCCCTGTAGCAAAACTCGTGTTCACGTAGAGGCAGTGTGACTAAAGTGGTGTTCGGTAGCTGGCAACTGCCACTTGCAATGCAACTAAGATATTATAATTTTTGCATGCAATTATAGTTACAACTATTTATTTTAAATTTTAAATTTTATAATTTGCAGTTGCACAGCTGTTTGTTTCTGCTTGTAACTTCTCATGCAATTGATCACTAGTTCTTTATAGTGGATTCAAGCATCCTACACATCTATTTTAGTGAAATTGTCATTTAATACAAAACCATATAAATTCAAGTCAAATCATGGCTTTCCATTTCCATTTCTGAACCTTAATTAGTGCATCCAGGTCAGACCTAGTTTGATTGTTAACTCTGAGCACCATTAGTTTAAGTTTGTGACAAGTTTTGCACAATTGTCCTTTCATGTTTCATTTCTCTTCGTCCTTTATTTTTTATAGACAGGAATATCATTGTTTTAGGAAAGATGTCTGATTAGGATTTACTTAATAAAAATTAAGCTTGGAGGTCCTCTCTTTTCTATATTTGCGTAAATATATTGTTGCTTGTCAATGATGGACATTAGACAGTTGTGAACATGACTTGTCTCTTTATATAATCCCTAAAATATGCGATTTAATAAGTAATATCTATATGTGTGTGTGTGTTGCTTGACGTTATTAATTTGCATATTTGCGTCTCAGTGTGATTTGAGTCCTTGTTTCTGTCACTTTTATAAAGGAGTCCAATAGGATTTAGATGATTTTCCTTCTTGCCTGATGCAGCCAGTATTATTTTCTTTTGTAAAATTCTATTTATTCACACTTTTACTAGATCTATGTCGTGCAACTGAGTGACGATAATGGTTAGAACGTACTACACCAAAATGAGTTAATGGCTCTTTCATAGATTGAAATCTAGACTCATGAAAGGTATCTTTTTATTTAAAATCCACTTCTAGAAATATGTATGTGGTCATTAAGAATCGATCGGAGCTGCTTTGGTACCATGTCAAAAGACCATGTCATGACTCCAAAACTTTAAAATTGTGATAGTGATTGAGGTTTACAATTCCTTACCCTGACTAGTATGAAAAGAATTTTGAGTAGGGCATATTGCCTACTTCTTTCTTCAAGAAAATTTCTACTTTTTTCTAGGATTAAAACTAAAAGCATGAAGATGGTCATAAAATAACAAATGCAAAGAGTTTCATTTTACATATACTCCAAATCTACAAATATTTAACCTAGATCTCAATGAGTGTCACTCTTATCTTTATAAATTCTCAGTCATGACCATTATCTTTATGAATTCTCAATCACATGAATATTGTCCTAGCTAACACCATGAAAGCACGAACCATAACTTCAACAAACAAAACCATCACCCTCTCAAACGATCAACAAGAAACAAAGCAAGATTACTCAAATCATCCATATCGACTTGCTCCTCCTTCAACGGATCATATTCACCCTTCTCATCGAACAAATCATCGCAATCATAAGCCATCGCTCTCACCTCACCAATATCATCTAACGCATCAGTGTAGCTCCCTTTCTTCAGCCAATCTATCGCGTCACTCAACCAATAAATCTCGTCGTTGAAAACCTCATTGGCGCATTTCTTCAAGATCTCCTTGGCCCTAAGACTGAAGTTTCCGTTCTTGATCATGTCGTTGGTTTTGGTTACGGTAGACGTTGCGTTGTTCAGGCAAAGTTGGGCCCCAATGAGGGCTAGATCTTTAGGGTTGGCGGTTTCGCTGTTGGGGTTTGCTTGGAGAGAGGTTGTACATATGTCGTAGTCGACCAGGTAGTGGCTGGCGGAGGCGGCTTTGCAGGTTTCATCGATGGTGGCGTTGGTGATGGGGAGGAGGAGGAGGAGGAAGAAGAGAGGGAGGGTGGAGAGGGTTGAAGAGGCAAACATTGTGTTGTTTGTGTTGGTGTTTTGGGGAGGGAGGGAGGGTTTTTAAAGAAGGGTTAATTAATTTTGCAAATTCCCATCTGAACTAAATGGTTTTTCACATAATCTTCCTGAACTTTATTTATTTCACTTAATCCTAGCTCTGAACTTTGTTATTATGCTTGTAAACGGTAAAGTAATTTGGGTTTTTATTACTGAAGAACACTTTAATTATTTACAGATTTGGTGGGGTTCAGTGAAGAAAAGATTAAAGTTCAAAGCGTTTTATGAGATACCTCAAGTTTTGGGGTTTTTTATGGAAGAACCCCAAGGTTCAGGGGGCATTTTGCGAAATTACATACCCTTTCAAAAAATGTTTTGGAGAGAAGTGGGTAGTGGATGAATGTGATGATGGATTTTGATTTGTAGAAGCTTTTGCATTCATTAGTGATATATGAAAAGAGTTATAATAGTGAAGATATATAATGTATATAATCTGGGATGGATTCGTTGAAGCGTTTCTAGTGAATGCATAGGAATCGTTATTTCCGGAAATAGAATCATATATAGTTGTCACAATAGAGTGCACGTGTAAGATTGTTGTTTTGAATAGTTTACTAAAATTTTTGGCTAATTTAGCATGTAAATACAATATTGCTTACCTTACTTTGCGTTAATAAGTAACCTGTTTTTGGCAAATACTTACATAATAGGAATCATTATTTCCGGAAATAGAATCATATATATAGTTGTCACAAAAGAGTGCACGTGTAAGATTGTTGTTTAATTTGAATAGTTCACTAAAAAAAGGGGCTAATTTAGCATGTAAATATAATATTGCTTAACCTTACTTTGCATTAATAAGTAACCAGTTTTTAGCAAATACTTGCATGCCCAAGTGTTTGCTCTAAAATCCGCTAAGCGCGCGAGAGTACATCCTAATGGGAGGATGTCTGTCCTAATAGGAAAGCCGATTGTACGACTTAAAGATGTGTTTTCTATTAAATAAAGCGCCCTATAAGAAAGAAAAACAATCTAACCGTAGTGTTCTAGTACCATATCAAAAAAAAAAACTATGTCATGACACCAAAATTTTAAAACTATGATAATGCTGAGGTTTACAATTTTATACTCTGACTACTATGAATTTCATAATTTTGGGTCGGGCAATACTTCTTTCCTCAAGAAAATTCTAAATTTCTAAAATAGAGAGTAAACGAAGATGGTCACAAAATTAATAACGAACAAAAAGTATTTCATTTTACACTAGTCACTCCTAATCTTCAAATATAGATCTCAATGAGAGTGTCCCCATTATCTTTATAAATTCTCAGTCACATGAAAATTGTCCTTAGCTAACACCATGAAAAGCATGCACTGTGAAAATGGCGAAGGAATTTGAGAAAAACGTGAAAAATAAGCAAGACACGCTCCATCACACCCTGATGTGGTGTCTGCCACACCAAGATCGTAGAATCTGTCGCTGTTGACATGGATGTGGTGTCTGCCACACCCAGGTGTGGCAGAATCTGCCCTGTTTTTAGGGGTACGGTGTCTGCCACCCTCGGGTGTGGCAGACTAGTTTTTTAGAATCCCAACTTGTTTGGGATTGTGTTTTGTTATAAATAGAGACATGTTTTTAAGGTTTCTTTAGCTTTGATTGGGCTTTGATTAAGCATTAATTGGAGGATATTTGGAGCACAGAAAATATGTATTTTTTGAGCTATTAGTTAGGGTTTTATTTTGGAGAGAATTAGAGATTTGTTGATGAGATTAGTTGGTTGTTTTGAGTGATTTGTAATATCAGTTTGTACTTTTCTTCTCTATTAGTAAAAACTCATCCCCTTCTTGCCCCATGTACATAGGCAACTTGCCGAACCACATAAAAATTGGTTGTTTGTGTTTGTGCCGTTATCTTGGATTGTTTAACCTTCTATCTCGACGCTTTGGTTTGGTTCCTCGAAGCACAACAATTTGGCCGCTGCACACAACAAGTGGTATCAGAGCTTGGGCTACGCTTAGGTTATTTGGAGGAGTAGATCGCTTTGGAAGTTTGTCTAGGGCATCACTTGGTAATAAAGGTGGAATTTTTACTATTGGTGATCTTGTCTACCGTCGGGCTCTTATTAGGGTTTCAGTTGAGGTAAAAATCTCTCTTTGGTGAAGACCGTCCGAAAGATCTCACAAACGAGAAAGAAAGAGTTGTGGAGGGTACTTCCGATGTGAAGATCATCCAAAGTTTGAATATCCACTCTATGAAGATAGACGTGGAGAAGTTTAATGGCACAAACAGTTTTGGTCTTTGGTGATGCGAAGTCTTGGATGCGTTCAACGCATAAAATTTGGAGGATACATTAAAGTTGGACGAGAAACCGGACGACATTGATAAAAATGTTTGGAAGAAGATGAATAGAACGGCGTGTGGTGTGATTAGATCTTGTTTGACTTAAGATTTGAAATATGATGTGATCAATGAGACTTCGGCTAAAAAGATTTGGGAGATCCTTTAGAGCAAGTATTTGACCAAGAGTATAAAGAACCGCTTGTATTTGAAGAGGAGGTTTTACCGCTTTCAATTGAAGAAAGGAACCTCCATTGGTGATCACATGAACCACGAAGCTTCTTGCAGATTTGACGAATGTAGATGTTATGATTGAAGATGAGGACAAGGCGTTATTGTTGTTGAGTTTCTTGCCCGATAAGGAATATGAGACATTCGTTCTTACTCTTATTAATAGGAAAACGTCTCTTTTATATAGTGAGGTCACTGCTGCACTTGTGAATTATCAGTTTCGAAAGAAGGATAAGGAGACTTCAGTTGAGCCAGTAACGGGGGCATTGGTCACAAGAGCAAAAAGTCCAAACTAAAATAGAAGGTCGCAGTCTAGAGGGGAACATCCTGGAGTTCGTAGGAATCAGTGTGACTTTTATAAAGAAGATGTACATTGGAAAGCCAGATGTCCAAAGTTGATAGATCGAGCTAGGAAGAATAAAGGAAAAGCTACTCAAGCTTTAGAGATGAATGTTGCTAAGGCTAGTGGCGACAATTCAGATTCGGATTCTTCGGGCTACTTGTTATCTGTACTACCATCAGTTTTTATTACCGACTCTACAGAGTGGATGTTAGATTCAGGTGCTTCATACCATATTTTTCTAGGAGGGATTGGTTCTCCAGCTTTCAGGAGTTGGAAAGAGAGGATGTTCTGCCCATGGGTAATGATCATGAATATCCTATTGGTGGTATTGGTACCATTCGGATTAGGATGTGTGACGAGGTGATTCAGGAGTTAAATGAAGTGAGGTTCGTTCCTCAGTGGAAGAAGAACATCATTTCACTTGGAGTTTTGGAGGCAGCAGGCTATAGGGTGACTTTGGAGGATGCATCTCTGAAGGTTACATTTGGGTCCATGATTGTGATGAAGGACGTCAGGAGGAAGAATTTGTATTATTTGATTGGGAGCGCGGTGTTTGGTAGAGAACTGACGACTTCTTTGGATTTGGCTATACTGTGGCGTTCGTTGAGGCTGAGATATTTATTTATTGGTGCCGTGTATGGATTGTTGAGGAGTGTTTTAACATGCAGATTGAAGTCCTTTGAGCATATTAGGATGAGCAAGAAGACCAAGGTGGAGTTTTGTACTTCTATCTATCGATCGAGGGGTCTTTTAGGTGGTATTCATTCAGGCATTTGGGGGCCTTCCAAGGAGGCATCATTAGGAGGTAATCGATATTTAGTTTCCGTAGTTGGTAATTGTTCCATGTATTTTTGGGTTGCAACCAAGTCCCGTTGGTATGAAGTCCTAGAAGTCAACAACAGATGGAGGAAGTATATTGGTAGAAAGATAACCCGTCATTCTAGTTCTGGTAGGGATCCTTTCTTGCGTTTGTGTAGAGCTCATGGTAGTTGGAGATACTTTATTAGAGAGGAAACATTGGGGAAACGAGATAAGATGATATTTTTGATTGGTCGTTCCTTTCTGGAGGAGGATCGGCGTTTGATGTTGAGCATTGGTTTTGGTGTTCGGGCTTCGACATATTTGGGTCATCTTGTTCGTAGGTTGCTGACTGCTACGTTTGAAGATTTTGGATCTGGTGGAGTTGCTTTAGATTTTGGGTTGCGTCGGATATTTGGTTGCCCAACATTTGGTTACATCCAGGATGTGAGATTTGATCTGATTGCACATTTAGGATTCAGAGGTTCGTTTGATTATAGTTGGGAGACTCTGATTTTGTTCTGAGCAGGTATGTTACATTCCACTCTCAGCAGGTGGAGAGTATTAATCAGATCATTAGGGTATCACAGCGGGTCGAGGAGTGATGCTACTCCACATTGGGTGCAGATTACTCCACATACTCCAGATCATACTACATCATTTGAGATTCCAGCTGAGGTAACACAATTTGAGGATCATTTGGATTTGGATGCAGATGATGAGTTCGTTGATTCGAGTGTAGCTGGTGGACATAGTTCGTATTTGGTTATGGCTGTTGGTTCACCTCAGGTAGAGGTGTTTGGATTGTTTCACTTTAGGGCCATTGGGAGAGCTATCAGTTACAGATTCGTTGGTGATGTTGGAGAATAGTTGAGAACTCTTCTATTTGATTGAGGGCTTTTGGAGGCCGTTGGGTGAACTACATGAAGGCTTAATTCCTTAGGTAAAAAGATACGTAGGTAGTCATTTATGATGCAGCCCGTTTGGTGAGTTGATACCGACATTTGGAGTTTGTTCGCATTCTCGTTTGGGTTCTCAACTTGTTATGGATTGAGTCCGTTGTCGTGGTTTTATTCCACTTCTTACTAGACGCAACGAGTGAGACGTTTGATTTAGTTGGTGTCGACTCAGTTTTGGGAAAACTTCACCGAGGTGGAGAATTGTAAAAATAACGAAGGAATTTAAGAAAAACATGAAAAATAAGCAAGACAGGCTCCACCACACCCTGGTATGGTGTCTTCCACACCCATGTGATAGAATTTGTCCCTGTTGATATGAGTGTGGTGTCTGCCACACCCAGGTGTGATAGAA